GAAGGTGTGGGGAGAAAGGGAGAATTGATCACAAGGATCAACATATAATCCCCACCCCGGCCCGCCCATGGGTGGGGAAAAGTAGGTGAAGGTAACAGAGGATGATATAATATATGAAAATAATTATATATTACTTATCAAGGGTTCATGAGGGAGGGAAGGTGGGGAGAGAGAGGGGAAAATGAGGTGCTGATATCAAGGGCTCAAGTAGAAAAAAAATGCTTTGAAAATGAAGATGGCACCATATGTACAGGTGTGCTTGACACAATGGATGAATATATGGATTGTGATAAGAGAAGCAAGAGACCCCAATAAAAGTATTTAATAAATTTTTAAAAAAGGTTCTGCCCTTTCACCATAATTGTTCAATCTGTATCCTGACCAAATTATCTGAGATTCGGGACAATATGAAAAAGAACTTGGTGTCAGGATTTGAAGACGATTCATCAACAGTCTGCCACATGCAGATTATACAACCTTGCTTGCTGAAAATAAGAACTTAAAGCACTTAATGATAAAGATAAAAGACTACAGCCTCAAGCATTGATTACAACTCAATATAAAGAAAAAAATGAAAACCCTCACAATCGGACTAATAGACAACTTCGTGATAAATAGAGACATAATTGACATTGTCAAGGATTTCACTTCGCTTGGATATGCAATCCACACTCACAGAAGCAGTAGTCATGAAATTAAATGATGCACATAACCTCTTTAAAATGTTAAAGAAAAAAGATGTCATTTTGGGGACTAAGGTGGGCCTGATCCAATCAGTGGCATTGACAATTGCCTCATATTTGTGTGAAGGTGGACAGACTGAAGAAGAATTTATGCATTTGGATTATGGTGTTGGTGAAAAACATGGAAAGCTTCATGGACTGCTACTGTCTTGAAAGTAGTACACCCAGAATGCTCCCTAGAAGCAAGAACAGTAAGACTTCATCTCATGCACTTTTAACATATTATCAGGAGAGTCCAGACTCTGGAAAAGGATAGTCGGTGGAGAG